CTAAGGGACACACGGGAAGACACGCGGACTGAGTGCCTGCTGCACTGTGTACACATCGCCACGAGGGAGACAAAGGCGGCCGGGCGGGCCACCCACGCCCTCGTGTGCCGTGCCGGCCCTTCGTAAGGGGCTCGCTAACAGCACTGGCAACAAAAGTCGGTTCAGGCTATACGGGAGGGAATCTTTTTCTATGTGCAACCCTTACAATGACATACATACACACACACGCATTTATACACACACACACAGCCACACACCACTAAGTGACGGTGACGTCACCACGACGCTTGTGCCAGGCCATGTGCAGCTTGAGGCCACGTGAAGTGTCGAACGCCCGCGGGCAGGAGGTCACGGGGCAGACCCAGGTGCCACGGGTCGACTGACTAAGATGACTGAGATGACTGATTGATGCACCACCTGTGCCCCCTACTGTGCCAACTTGCTGTGCTTTAGCCACCCGGCGCTCCGATCGTTGTTGTGAGCGTCGCTCCTCCGCCCTCCGTTGTTGTTGGAGGGCGACTACCTGCAACTGCCCAGTAGCGTCCTTCACGAGCCTCCTCCACTGAGGCCGATCTTGACACCGCTGGTACCAGTCATCGGCAAGTCCACTCAGCTCCACGTCCTCCTGAGCGTCGCTCCTCCGCCCTCCGTTGTTGTTGGAGGGCGGCTACCTCCAACTGCCCAGTAGCGTCCTTCACGAGCCTCCTCCACTGAGGCCGATCTTGACACCGCTGGTACCAGTCATCGGCAAGTCCACTCAGCTCCACGTCCTCCTGTACCACATCACTCCATCTCTTCTCTAGCCCGTGCCGCGCCCCTTTAGCCCCCTCAATCCGGCCGAACAAAAGCTGTTTCGGCATGCGGTGGCTGGGCATGCGGGCTACAGAGCCCAGCCAACGCAGCCTTGACTGCCGGAGGAGCTCACCGATGGAACCTTGTCCAGATCTTTCAAGAATTTGTGAGCTCCTCACACAATCCAGCCTGGTTAAACCCAGGATGGATAGTAGGCAGGCTATCCTAAATGTTTCTAACCGGCGAAGATGTTCCATTAGGGGGGTCCACACACACACAGCCACACACACATACACACAGCCACACGCACTCATTTATACACACACACAGCCACACACACACATAGCCACACACACACACGCATTTATAGACACACACAGCCACACACACACACACACGTGCGTGTGTGTGTGTGGCTGTTTCGCACCCTCACAATGGCACACACCCCACACACTACGCACAAAGGGTTCCCTTCAGCTTTTTGCTGTCGGCTGAATAGCGGCCGCTGCCTATAAATCACGCGCCGTCTTCCTCTGCCTTTTTTTCCAGCCCCCTCCCCTCCGTCCGTCCGTCCGATGCCGGGAGAGTGTCGCTCATTTCCCACCCACCCAACCAACCCCGCCTCCCCCTCCCCTCCCTCTCCATTCCTCGTCCCTCAATTTACATACAGTACACACACACAGATATATACACATTGTCTGTGTGTGTGTGACGGCAGTTGTTCGGACGGGCGCGGAGGAGGAGTAGGCAGAGAGAGAGCTGGGAGGACGTGGTGGTGGTGGTGGGGGGTTGGTGGGAGGGAGTTGGTGGGGGGGGGGAGGTGGGGGGTGGAATGGCGATCGCTCCCGTTGGACAATGGGACACATTTTATCCGGGACACAATGTCGGCCACAGAAAACACCAACAACAAACCGTGGACTCGGGTACCTCTGCTGCCTCGCAGCAACGCCGCTCCCAGCCTACCCCCATGCACCCCCCCCATGCACCCCCCCCATGCACCCCCCCCCATGCACCCCCCCCATGCGCCCCCCACCCCTTCCTCCCCCGCCTCCACACTGCTCCCTCCCTCCCACAAAACAAAACCTGACATCAACCCAAAGTCTAATTATTTGCAGACGCTGACAGATCACTAATTGAGCCAATCGCCCCCCTTTCAGAGGTCCGCTCACGCCTCTCCGCACACCACGTGGCCTCTCTCGCCTGATTTCTGCCCCCCCACCCTCCCACCCTCCCCCCTGTAAATCATAAAACTGGCAAAGATGCAGCCCTGTAGTGACTTCTCCATGATGGGCACTTGCTAGCCGATAGGGCCTCAACTGGTCGGAGCTCACGGAATTGAATTCCCTCTTCCACGCGCTCACCCAAGACGTCTTGCAAGAGGTGGAGAGTCACCCGCATGTCTACCCCTAGCACCGCACGCGGCCTGCCCGGTTGATTTTTCGCAAAACGTATTTTTTTGTTTTCGTTACTCATATTCTGCTTCTGTTGCTGCTGCTGATGATGACGACGACGACGACTATGCTGCTGCTGCTGCTAATGATTGTGATGATTGAGAATTAACAAAACAAAAACTCCCCACACATTTGCAAGCAGGATCGATCATTCTCAAAAGGCGTTCGTTAAGGTTTTGCTGGAAATCTCGGCCTTGTATGCACGTGTGGTGAACTTCTTTCGCACCGTACGTAGCCAACCGTGGCTAATCGGAGTTGCCGGGGTATGCACCCTTCACAGCCACGGGGGACAGTCAGAGTATGTCTATGAATTAAAGGTCATATCCGGACAGATTTTGCCAGTACGCTACAGTACGTGACTTACACGGCCTATCTGTTTACAGTCTGAACGTCTTATGGACAGACAACTCCCATACACAACAACAACAACAACAAACAGCCACGTGACCCTTTCGTCAATGGTAACAGTGTGCGGACGCTGTTTAAAGATAACCGTTATCTTTAAAACAAGGAAGAAAAACCACGCGCACGCACAGCTTCTGTCGCGCGTTCTTCCGAACACGGACTCGTGTTCAGAAGTGTCTCCGGGCGCCACGTCGGCTAGGAGATGTTAACTACCTCGCCTGGTATACAGGAGGTCGTAGGCTGGATCCCGACCCTGGCTGTTTGCTATGAATTTGACCACGTGACGATGAGACGCCTCGTTGAGCGACCATTTGTGGTGGCCAGGGTCGCTTCTGACAAAGAGCTGCGTCGCTCAGTGGGGCCTTACACCTGCTCAAATAAATGAAAAAAGTCTTATTTACTTTGGTAATTGTTTAGTAGTTTAGGTAGTTACAGTTGAGCGGTGGGCAAGCCGACCCGGCGCTTGGCTGTCGGGGCAAAGCGGAGCGGCGGCCGCGTGCGTCGTTTTCGCTGATGCGAAGCTTCGCCGTTCGATATTCCAGCCGCCGCCACCGCCGCCGCCGCCGCCCCCGGTCATTGCCTCTTGCTGTGACGACCACCACGGCAAACGCCACGCGCCGCCTGCGTCACAGCGGCCGTTCAAGATTCCCCCTGACGTCACCAGCAGCAGCAGTAGGCCGCTGCGTGCCGCTGCCGGAGTCAGGCTCCAATTGGGATTACACGCAACAGCAGCAGCAGCAGGAGCAGCAGCAGGAGCAGCAGCAGGAGCAGCAGCAGGAGCAGCAGCAGGGGCAGCAGCAGGAGCAGCAACAGGAGCAGCAGCAGGAGCAGCAGTAAATAATTGCTGCCTACTGGCAGACTAATGCCCGTTTACAGGCCAGGTGCTGAGTCGCCTTGTGCCACACAGGGACAGCTGCCACTGGGGGTGCCCTAGGCTAGACGACCACACACGTCAACATTCAACACCTACTGGCAGACTAATGCCCGGAGAAAGCTCGTGCGTGCGAGGGGGAAGTGCTCTATCCCGTACAGATGGAACAGGTGGGATCCACAGTTCCTCTACCGCATTCTCCTGGCACGGCCAGGGTACGGCTCCTCCTCGACGCCCACCCACGTGGAGGGAGTTTCACAAAACATCTGTGTGTGGTCCACCAACCCCTCGTTGCTACCTCCACACACGGTGATGGGTGACAGGCAGCCACGTGCAGCAGTGCAACCACCACCACCGCTGCCGCCACCACCGCCACTATCACAGCCACTACCACCGCTGCCGCCACTACCACCACTGCCACCACGACCACCCCCACTACTACCACCACCAGTAGCACCACCACTACGACTACCACCACCACAGCCACCACCACTACCGCCACCACCACCGCCACCAGCACCACCGCCCAGCAAGGCCTACACTTTCTACCTTCACCGGTAATCCTGCATGGACCGGCATGGTGAAGTATGGTCAACTCACCCACACCGCGCGCATGCTTGTGCGCATGGGGGAGGCCGTCATCCAGCAGTGGATTGACGGGAAGGACTCTACATGTAGAGAAATCCTGTTGGTTGGTGATGCTACTGCTGCTGCGGTGACCAAGCAGAGTCAACAATAACAACAACAACAACACCCCAACACGTTCCGTATCACTAGCACCGTGGCCTTAAAAAAAATATATATAAAATAGGCGACGTTCCAGGCGATGTCCCTTCTGCAGAACTCGCAGGAGTATCGGCCAAGCATCCCAAACAAACACCTTCCTCCAGGAGAGCGAAGCCACGAGGCTCGAGTTGAAGCTCTCCCTGCGACGCGACGCAGTCGCAGGGTCAACGGATGAATTAGGGGACGACTGAACGAGGGCGCGAACGAGCGAACGACCCTGGGGGATTGTTCATGGCTCAGCCGCGTTAACTTCACCGGAGCTGCGAGCTCCTTCATCCCTCTCGCTCTCCCGTAGTCGTCGTTTTATTTCTCTCTCTCTCTTCTCTCGCACGCAGTGGAACGTGCGACGAAGCGTCAGCCGAGAATCGTGAAATCCCTGATGGGTGGCCAAACGCGCGTTCACAGCTCTGCAACTTTTTGGTAAGTGCGTGGCGCCTGCATGCGGCTGGGTTGCGTGCACGCGCGCGTTGTGTGTCTGTGTGTGCGGGGAGCGGTGGTGTAGCGGTTAGCGCGCTGCGCTACGGACGATTCCCGCTCGCGGCAAACGCCAGCGACGATTATCTGAACCGGACCTGGGCCTCCCCTAGGTCGACTCACCCTCAAATGAGTACCTGGTGTGCGGTGTGCGGTGTGTAAACATCGCACACCAGGGAGACAAAGGCGGCCGGGCGTGTTGCTGGCCACCCACCCCCTCG